TTCTTTCTTTGCTTTTTGGTGAAGCAATTGGGGTTTAGTGACTGGCCCAGGGTCACACAGCTAGTAAGTGTCAAGTGTCTAGGGTCACATTTGAACTCAGGTCCTCCTGACTCCAAGGCTGGGAGCTCCATCCACTGCACCACCTAGCTGCCCTCTTCTAAGATTTCTTAAAATGTGCCATCTAAGCTTTTTTAGTCATGGTTTTCAGGTATCCAATGAATCTTAAATTCCTTCTCCTTGATCTGTTTTCCAGGTCAGCTGATTTTGCTACATATTTTTTTCTTTTCAGTCATTTGACTTGGTTTATACACATATATAAACATACATACATACAGAGAAAGAGAGAGAGTGTCTTTGAAGTAATTAGCTTCTATCTGGTACATTTTAACTTGCAGGGAGTTTATTACTTGAGCAAAGTTTTGTACCTCTCAGGGACAAGCTGTTAATTTGCTTTACACTTCTTTCTTCCATGATCTTCATTCTCCCTGCCCCACAATTTTTTCTTCTAGAACTCATTTCATTGACTAAAAAAACCAAATTTTAACTTTTTTTCAACTCTTGCTTTATCTCTTTCAGGAATTCTATTTGATTTTTTGCCTAAACTATATATATTTTTTGAGGCTTTAAGTATTTTCGGAGATATTTTCTTCTTTTTTGTATCTTCATCATCCCTGTTCACGTAATAGCTTTTTATGGTGGGCTTCTTGTTTATCATTCTTCCAGCCTACTTCTTGACTTTGGATTTGATGTTACAAATGGATTGTCTAATAAGCTGGTCCTACTGCTGCTTCCTTGGTGTTTTAAGCATCGTTATTATTCCAGAATGTAATGGACAGCTCAGTTGGAGGACCTGCAAGTTCTCAGTGTCTTAAAGTGGTCTGATCCAGGGCAGAATGTGATTGCGCCCCCCCCATCTGATCCATCTCTGCAAATTCCAAGTGTGACTAAGAATGCCCTGGACTCTGCCAATTGGAAAGCTTTGTTGGTTCAGAGTGATTGAACTGTAGACTCTCCTATCATCTAGGATTCTTGCTGTGGCCCTTCAGACTGGGATAGCTTAGAACAGAAGATTCCATCCTACTCTTGGGGTCTGTGCCACCACACTGCTGCTTCTTGCTTCCAAATCTGCTCCTCTCAGCCCCCCAGCTGAAGGTCTGAGGCTGTTCCTTACCCCTGGAACTGTGATCCTGAATTGAACAGTGGGCAACTAAGCTGCCCGTTGGCATGCGTTCCCATTGAAGTGCCCTAGAATGGGTCTGAGAATGCCCCTCCTTTTGCTGTGGTAGTCTCTTCCATGCTGAAGTCCTCTGCCCATGACCAGCTCCTGGCCAAACCCTATCCATGGTGTCCACAGACCTCTCTGTCTCCCTGTGTCAACCTGAGCTAGAAAAATGACTTTTTTGGGGACTTCCCCACCAGGATTCAGTCTGGTGCATTCTCTAGATGTGTTTGAAGATTTTTGTAGGGGAGCTCACTGAACTTCTCCCTGATACTGGGTCAACTTGGCTCCACTTCCCCTCCAGTGTGTCCCTCTTTTTGTACAGAAGAGAAGGAATAGGATTAGCATTGCCCCAATTTCTCTGACTCTTCTTTCTTCACCAAACCCTTACTTTTAATCCCATTTAATTGCACCCTCTGCAATTACAATTTCCTTCATTTTTTACTGTTCCCTCTTATACTGCACCACCCCCCCCCTCCACTTTCCCCATCCCTTTTCCCTTCACACTCCACCTACATGTGTCCAACCCTCCTTCAGTCAGTCCCGATGAGACTGTCCACTCTATCCCACTCCTTCCTTCATGTTTGAATGCCTTTTTGGTACAACCCAATTTTACGAAATAGTTAAGATCCTCTCCCTTGTCTCTTACTTTCTTCTGCTCTGCATTCCTTCCTTCTTCCTTTTTCTTTCTTCTCTTAAAAAGAACAAAACCACCTCCAGGCCATTTCTCAAGGGAGAAGAGATATCACTCTTCCTGTTACAATGCAATTCCTCCATCAATGTTTTTTCAGTTACGTTCAACTCTTCTCTATTTGGGGAATTCTTGACAAAGATACTGGAGTGGCTTGCCATTTCCTTCTCTAGTTCTCAAGTGTTGCAAGGCAAATTGGTTTTAAGCCTTTGTCCTTCTTTTGGAATATATTGCAAGGTTATCTCTACTTTATAGCAGTCCCTTCCAAGTCTTTGGGAACCTTGTTTCCTTGGTTCCTGAATTTCTTTTTCTCCCTACTTGCAATTTTTCCTTTGACCTGGCAAGTCTGTATCTTAGCTATGACATTCCTGGGTGTCTTCAGTTTGGGGTTTCTTATTCCATTGTTGTTCTCTGATTAACAGATCGGGGCATTTTCTTTTAGCATCGTATTTCTTGAAACATGGTGTTCTTTGGTTGTGATTCTCAGAGCCCAATGATTATTTCTCTTAGAATGCTTTTCTAGTTTTTGTTTTTTTATAGGTGCCCTTTTCCTTGATCTTATCCTATTTCTTATCTCCTAGAGTCACTGAACTGTTTGATAAGTTTACTCAAATTTTTACTGTGTTTGCCAATTGGATAATTTTTTGCACCTTCTAAGATATTTGTTCTCCATCCAATTTTTTCCCTCCAGAATTATTTCTTCCCAGTTATATTTGGTCTTATTGGGCACTTTTTTCCTATGAGGTGGTAATTTTTGAGGAGTTATCCTCTTCTGGTTTATTTCTTTAGAGTCTCCTGACCAATGGTATTTGTGCTGTTTGGGACCTCATGCCAGAGCGAGGTTCTATCTCCTGTGATATATTCTAGCATGGGTTGAGTACCCAGCACCTACCAGATCCTGCTCCCTCGGTACTCTGGATGCCAGTATTACTGCCATTCTAGACAGGGTAACTCAGGCCCCCTACTCCCTTCTCAATCTGACTTCTGCTTCCTGATGGGCCACCTGTCTCACACAAACCACAATCAGGAGATGGTTCAATCTCAGCTATAGCCCTGGCCTCTTCTAGGGACTGGAAATCACACTTGCTCTATGTTTCTTGCAAGGCACCCTAGCACAGACACCAAGGTTCAGAGTTGACCTGAAGTCCTACTGAGGCTCATCAAATGGTCCCTGACCCCCTTCACATCTATGGGGACCAAATGCCTCCTGCTAAAGGGAGCTGGTAGCACACTCGCTAGTGCTTGGTCTGGAGGTAGGGAATCTGGCCTCAAGACACAATGTAACCCTAGGCAACAACTTTCTTAATCTTTCTCAGTTTTTTCAACTATAAAATGGAGATAATAGCACCTACCTCCCAGGACTGTCATGAGGATTAAAGTAAATTTATAAAAACACTTAGTGCTGTTACAGTGCCTGCCACATAATAGGTACTACATAAATACACAATCTCTTCCCTCCCCTTATTAGTTCCAACAAGCCAGGACTAGGATGAAGCTTCATCTTCGCAATTACTATAGCTCACTAGCTCACAACCTCCTCCTACCCCCTTCAGAGCTCCAGCTTGTTCCTGGCATGCTTAACAGAGTTCACATTACTTCCCCTGGTGAAACTCTTTCTCCCAGTTTCCACTGGCTTCTGAATTTTGTACAAGTCTGGGCTAAAAATTTACTTCTGTTTCTCTACACAGCTTTATCATTACTATACTTAGGGGTCCTTTTCAGATTATCTGCTAGTGGGTATGAGCTAGGGAAGTCCCACCCCTTCGTTCAGCTCCAACCTGGCACCTTGCATACCTGTTGTCATGACCTATAAAAGGGCAAACGATAAGTACTTCTATATTAGATGTTTTCAGATGAAGACACGTTAAAAGAAACTCAAGAGTCAACAGGAATAAATTCACAGTATCAAGCTTTTTGCCATTTATATATAGAAATATTCATACTGATGTTCATTTTTAACTTCAAAAAGCAAGAGACAGAAAATGGCGTGTGAAGTAGGCTTGCTCTAAAAATTAAGTTAGATTTCATCCTCTAACTAGGACAAAACACATTCACTTCTTTTGTGTGCTCGAGTCTTCTTGTACAAAATGAGTAATATGGAAATGTTTTACAAGACTGCACATGTGTAACCTACACAGACTGTTTACTGCCTCAAGAATGGGAGAGGGGAGGGACGGAGGGATAGAATTTTGGAACTCAAAACTTAAAAAAAAAGTTTAGAAATTGTTTTAACATGTAATGGGAAAAAATATTTACAAAAAAAGTAAGTGTGTAATGCCTGTACTTGAGGATTGTACTCCTGACACACCCTAAAATTTTTTTTCACCAGATTTAAATAGCTAGTCAGAGGCCCCTTTCTCCTACATGGTAAATCTCCACTTATCACCTCACTTTTGAAGTGACATGAAGACACTGATGTGTCCTAGCTTGTATAGTTTCCTTACTCTTCAGGCCTTATACAAGGTGCTGCCCACGTCACCACAACAGAACTCTAGAAGATGCACTAACCTAGTAATCATTGCCATTTTCCACAGAGGTCTCTTGGAGATTCAAGTAGACCTCCACAACTGTCTATAGCTAAGGTTACTATATCCAGTTCCATCTGAGGAGGGTAAAACCAGACAGGTTTCCGGAGTTTTAGGAGATCATAAATTAGTGTGATAGAAAAATACATAGGAACAATAGAAGGCAGTAAACTCCAATACCAAATACTCCCTCCTTTAAATCGGAGCTGAATTTTAAAATACTGTGGCAATATGAACTAAAGCTTTTTACCATCCTTTTCCTCACCAAAGTAAAAGTAATGATGCTCTTGTGACTGACTATATACAATCAAGTATTATAAGTTACAGATCCAACTTGGTACATTTCTAGATATTCCTCTGGCCCATGCACAAGTTCAAAGCTGGTCTGAATGTTTTACAAAGATTTCTACCAACTTTAAGATGACAATAACTAACTTTTCAGAATTACAAGCAATCGTTTTTCCATTTTCTAATGGCACAGCACCACAGCTGTATTATTAATTTAACATGCCAAATTATCACCTAAGATTCCAGATGACATCTTGTCCCAATTTTGTTCACTCAG